TACTACACTGCATAATCCAATATGGCTAAGAGTCCTTGTCAAGTTTATTCTGATCCTTGCACTTTATTTAAGCATCTTATGCAGCTCTTAGTATAGGCAATTTAGTCGCTTTTACATTTTGTTTTTGTTTTTTTTGCCAAACAGATCTTAATATATGCATTTCCTGGTCTCTTGTGCATTTATTTGAATGTCTTGTGATTCTACTTTTGTCATGTTGCAAAGAATATGTGCATATTTTGCTATTGTAGCCCATTGTATTTTGAAAACTATATCACTGCTACATGATAAATTTTCTTGACCTGATCCCCCATTTGCTCTGGAGCTGCAAGAAAAGCTAGATTTGTATGTAAGTGTTGTTTTTTGTTATGTAGAACACTACTCATTAATTGTCCAATAGTCATTTTGATAGTGAAATTGATGTACTAACTACTTAGCTGAAGCATCCATGATAACTATGTTATTTTGGAAAGATCTATGAAATTCAGTATAAATAAAAACACTTACTTCATCTACATTACTTTTCTTTGTTCTGTCTTTTATTCCTTATTGCTCTTTTTGATTTGAAACGAATGTCTCTAGCATACTGGTCCATAACTTGCTATGCATGTTTGAACTATGGCTGCAGTTATGGTAGATAGATTTGTTTACATCTGTAATGCATAATAAACTTGCAAATTTGTCTTTTCGGTATGAGCATGCCGTCTATGCATGTAAGTTATGCTAAATTAGTTCAAATAATATTCTGGTGCAAGCCTGATACTAATACATACAGTACACAGGCCAAAGTAAAGCATCTTGAGATTCTTGAACCTTGTTTTAGATGGAGTTCTTGAACCTTTTTTAGATGGAGTTATGTAACGACAGATAGTTCCTTTGTCTTCTTATTTGGTTCTTTTTAGATTTTGTGTTCTTTTTTTCTTTTAAATTTCTAACGCATTAGGAAGTAAAGACATGGGACTATTGTCTCTCCTTTTTTTTATCCAATTTAATGACAAACAGGAGATGGACATTTACTTTTTCATATCTTACTTTCATTTCGTGCTTAGCGAAGAAAATAATTTTATATGTTTACACAAATTTTTGCTGCTATGAAACATTTATAGCGTTACCATCAAGTTCTTTTTCCAGCTACATAGTTTATTTCACTATAAATTGGTTCTGCAGAAGTTGCTTATGAATTTTTTATAATCGTTTAGTTATATTGCATATCATGTACTACTACCACTAGTTTTTCCCCTTATAAGTTGTTCATGATTCAAAGAGCACCAGGTCTGTCCTTTCCCCTAAGATATTTTCAACTGAGATGCTTTAGATACCTTTGCATGCTAGCATATACACCACTGGTAAGTTTTTCTTTCAAATGACATTTACCATGCCTTTCATATGTATCGTAGAAAGCATGCACGAGATGAGGTTTACCTTCCATATTAGTTTCTCTGCCTTGATCCGTGTGAAGAGAAGTCTATCAGGATTCTCCATGATGGGAATGTGAAAAATAATTCCAAGTTGCATAACGTACTAGCCATTACATCATTCTGGGTTAGGAGAGAAGCTTAGATATGCCTTTTTAGATTTGAACTTCTGATTAAAATGACCCTTCTCGAGAATTTTTTAATCCTCTATTCCAGGATGTCACCTCTTCATAACATATGAGAATGTATGTCTGTACCTTGCTGGCCTCTTCTGTAGAAAGGTGTCTAAGCTTCTTACTGTTCTTTTAGCGCGACAACAAATTCTCTCTAAAAATCACCAAGTGCCTCTATTTCTGATACAGGTTCACAGCCAAGTACTCCGAATTTACGTTTGTTTCACATTTCCTTGTATAAACAGTGTCATGCTTTTGATTATCACACTATTTATTGCATTTTTGCTATCATGCATCCTCTTCCAGTTTTAGGTATTGGTTTTGCTTATTTTATCAATTTTTTTATTGTTATTCTTCAAAAAGTATTTGCAGAAAGAAAAAAGCTTAAGTAGTTGGTCAGAAGAGGATGTTGTTTGGGTCCATTTAATTGGGCGACTTGCTATTTTCCGACAGCTTCTGTAGATGCCATCATAGCATAGATTGAATAAGAACGGTAACTCACCATAGGATGCTGAACAGGGAATTTAGGGAGCATTGTTAGTGGAACCGGAGTCTTCTTCCTGTGCAAGCACAAGACTGCAAGAGTCAATCCTGCGAGGTTTTAGCGTTTGATGATGAAAGTTATACCGATTCTTCTTATCCCAAGAAATCGGAAAATTTAATGATTAAAAACACGCTATTACCGATTTATTCCGAGTAAGCATATTTTCCTTCGTAATAGATGCCTTATAGAACGGATAACTTAATTGGGTTAGTAGGTGTTGATGCTGATTTAAATTAACTGTGTTATGGTATAGAAGAGGTTTAAAAGGCAAGTGCACATTAAAAGGTGAATGTGATCATGCAAGGTCAGATCATTCATGACAGAAAAATTAGCCATTAAAGATATTTGTAATCCCAGGAAACCTTGACATTTTGGAAACGGCAATAATGGTTTTCTTCTGAGAAACCACCGTTCCGTCATTATAGATGGCATATATAAGCAAGAGCATCAATAAGGCAGACTTGGTTGCTGATTAAGCTAACTGTGTCATTCTTCGGGATCTGGTTATTGAAGGATGAAAAACTTGCCATTAAGTGTTTTCTCTAATTTTAGGAGATCTGAATGGTTGAGGATGGACAACGTGCTATTATGGATTTCTTCTAAGAAAGCACCTTCCCTTCATAATAGATACCTTACCAAGAAATGCTGAATATAGAAGATAGTTGAGGATGTTGATGGAAGTAACTATGTCACATAATGGTTTCTAATTAAATATTATGTCTGAATTTTTCAAAGGTGATTGAAGAGACTTTCTTTAAAGATTTGAAACCTCAATCCATCAATGATTAGGAAGATTCTATTTGTCATGGCTAGCTCCGGTAATTTGAATATGGAATGAGGAGTGGTCGGCAGATGTACTGATGCTATTGAAATTTGGAAATTTTAGTATTTTTCTGTAAGGGCTTGTTTGGCAACCTGAAAGTAAATGGGAAATGGACAAAAAATTGGAAAGTAGCTACACTTTCCGTTGTTTTCTTGCTTGGCACTTGGAAAGTGAATGGAATAGTAAATTAAAGCTAAATGAAACGTGAAGGGTATCTCATCAGCTTTTAATCCCTTTTTCCTCAAAAATTTTAAGAAAGTGGAAGAGTGAAGGGAAGATGACAGAGAAATTAGTTAAAAAAAAAAACTTCCTCACCTATCATTTTACTCCAGTTGTCCAAGTTGTACTATTGCTTTTCATGATAACCAGACTACAAGAAAGTAACTGCCACGTCATTTGTCACCTGTACTTTACGTTTGTTTTATACTTTCTATCATCCAAACAAGCTTTTGCATATAGAAAGCATAGTATTAAAAGGGGTGAAGGCATCCTCCTATGCTACCGCCTAGGCCAAAGCGGTACTTAGGTCACCTGTTAGGCCTTGGGATTGCCTAGAGGAGCATGAGCTCTTATGCGGACTGCAAAGTTTAGGCTTGTGTTGATTTCCTCCATTGCTGCCTTCATGGACTCCCCCTCCTCAACCTCCAACCTTCAGCAAAATCACTTATTCTTGCAACCTTCAGCAAAATCACTTATTCTTGCAACCTTCAGCAAAATCACTTATTCTTGCAACCTTCAGCAAAATCACTTATTCTTGCAACCTTCAGCAAAATCACTTATTCTTGCAACCTTCAGCAAAATCACTTATTCTTGCAACCTTCAGCAAAATCACTTATTCTTGCAACCTTCAGCAAAATCAGTTATACCTCTAGTTTAACAAAGAAATCCATCTAGGCCCCATCTAGTCGCTAGGCTCTGAGACGGTGCCTACTGATATCTAGGGCTTTCTCTAACCTTGATAGAAAGTAAGAAGAAAGTGCTTTCTCAAAATTTCACTTTCCATGTACTTTCCGTTGCCAAAGATGCCCTAAGACAGCATACATTAAGGTCTCATTGGCATCAACGGTTGGATGTACTGGAGGTTTGAAGGACATCTGTCACTTGGTCGCTAGAGCGCGATATAATTAATAATCTATGAAGAGGGTCGTTAGCTTAGCATTTAAATGCTGTCATCTTGATCACAACTCGATAATCGATCAAGCAAAGAATCAAGTTTGACTCTTAATTTTTAGTTATATTGACATCAATATGTGTAGCAATGTTATAACTGCGGTTGACCTGGTTAGCCTTCAGTTTGCTTCAACAGCACTTTGAATTAGAATGTTTTGCTACGAGTTTTTACATCATTGCATAGAATACAGAAGGATGTGTAGTTTGGTATTTTGTCATACATAATCTTAAAGCAACTTGATAAGGTTTCATATAGTAATTTATTTAGGCTGTGTTAGTGTGTTGTCGGTCATTTTCTAAGGGGTTCTTATTTTTCTTTTTATCCTCCAACTGAAGTTTACGGCTTCATTAATAAGCAGTAAATTAACTTTTTTTTTCCTCTGCCACTGGAGATCCTTAGTATCCCTTCTGTCATTGATAGCGTTTCTTATCATCACTGTGTTTGCTTTAGGGGGTGTTTGTTTGCATGCAAGTGAAAGATGAAAGTGAGAAAGTTACTTTTATTTAACAATTAAGGTGTTTGTTTTCATGTAAGTGGTTATGAAAGTGAGATGCAAGAAAATTGCCACATATGATTTAATGCAATTTTGACTTCCCCTAAAAAAGTGGTGAAGTCACATAAAAGTGAAAAAAAGGAAACTAATTTAATTAAATTATTTTAATTATACTCTAATTAATCTTATTTTGCCACGTCATCTTCACATTGCACTTTCGATAATAATTTAATTTTTCAAACAAACACTGCATTTCACTTGCGTGCTGATATGGATGTAAAAGTCATTTGCAAAAAAAAATAACTTATATATTTTAAATTCACTTTCAGATTGCCAAACACTCCCTTACTGAGATGATTAATTCAACCCTCTCTTGTGTTTTAGCTGCAGGAAAGTGAAAGTGAAGATGGAGGTCTTGATGAAGGTGATGAAGGCATCGAGGAAGAGGCAGAACCGGAACCTGAAAATCATATTCCAGCTGAGCCTGTAGAGAAGAAGCCTTTACCTACTACCTCAGCACCGAAAGAGAACGAGAGACAACTCTCCAAGAAAGAGTTGAAAAAGAAGGGACTTCAAGAACTGGATGCTCTTCTTGCGGAACTGGGAATAGAGCAGTCAAATGGTATTAAAACTTTCTAGCGTTAATTGCAGATGCATGCAGCCCTTCGACTGTAGGGGTCTAGTTAGTTATCATCCATATTCTATTTTATTAGCACATACACGCACTGATCACATATGTGGAACTATGTTGCATGCTTTAATATGAAACACCCGTTGTACACTTCTTGGATGTATATCTTACACTTGCATCCGCTTTCTGAAATTTGTTAGGCAAAGGTTGGATTCATTTCAGCACATACTGAGTTTAGAACTATAATTTTAGAGAGTTTGGGTATCTAGTTAAAAGAACGACCGGTTTTTTATTTATAGTATGCATGTAAAAGAGCATAAAATGCTATCGGAATTTTGATTCTCATAACACGTGAATGAAAAAACAATATTGAAGCCATCAACTTAGTAATTTTGATGTGTAAACCGTGTTCCTGCATCCTATAATTTGCAAGTTTGTCATGTGTACTACCGCTTGTGACGTGCAACATAGGTTTAAACTCTGTGAGGATTACACGAGGATCATAGTTAGGCGCAGAAGATTCCCGTAGGATTCCCATGCTAGTTTAAAAGCTAAAGAAAAGTCACTGTGTTTAAGAAAGTATATGCTATCTGCAGCTAACCCTACATTCCAATACATAATGACCAAGATATTGTCATTGTGTCTGCTGCTGGGAAGGACTCTGAGGAAGCAGCTGATGTGAAAGAGAGATTTAAGAAAGTAGTCTCAATCAAGAAGAAGAAAACTAACAAGGAGATGGATGCTGCTGCCAGAGCTGCTGCTATGGAGGCTGCTGCGAGGAGTGCTCGGCTTGCTGCTGCAAAGAAGAAAGAGAAGAATCACTACAATCAGCAACCGGTTCGGTAAACTGGTCGTCTTTAGCTTTTTGAAGAGGTGATAGTTTATATGCTCTCTTTTGTTCCGTCTGTTCAGTACGAAAACAAGCAGCAGCTTTTAGATAAAATACTATTAGCTTCCTACTGTTATCACTTGAAAGACTCAGGATTTTCTCTTGGTGCTCCATGGCAAAACTTAATGTGAGAGATTCTGCTTCACTGGAGATCGTTTCCTGGACAGTGTTATGTTTGGACTTCAGTCCCTGGTTGTGTGGATTTTATTACCTTTGTTCTGTTGCCGCTGCTTCCGTCTTGTCTCCAACAATGTTGTACTTTTTATGTGGTTTCTTTTACCTGAATGATACAATATAGATGATATTTTGTCATGTTTGTAGATATTATTTAATTTTTATGGTTGAAGATGTTGATGATGCCGGAGTACATGGACGTTTCGTTGGACTATGGACGGTCTCCATAAATCAGTTGGGGGAAAGAGCGAGATGACGCCTACTTCCTGTGGCTGTTGGGTATCAGCCATGTCTCTTGCATGATAATACATTAATATCATGTTTACATTTTACGCATTTAATATCATGGTACCGATTTGAATTTGCCAAGAACATGGAGCAGCACAAACGAACAAGTGTCGTTACTATTTCTGCATAGAATTTGTTCGTAGCTAGTTTTGAATAGAATTATTAGTTACAATTAAAATAGTGGCCTTGCAGCCAAGGGAGGGCCTATAATTTTAATGAATAGAACATACATACGTTGGTATTAGATTTCGGATTAAAAAATGCTATGAAGTTTTTGTGAGAACATAACTTGCATGTAGTACTATCTCAAAAAGTAATTGTCTCCCGTTTAATATAGATAGGCATTACATTAGCTTCCCTGTGCAACATCGTTTACTTCAATCAGCTCGTTCGCTTGCACTGCACGTCAAGTATAAGGGAGCAAGTGGGGCCCAAAGGTTTATAATGAGCATGAGCCATGAGGATAAACTCCAAGTCGAGTCGAAAACTTCGGCCACTTCGGCCCAGTGGGCTCCTTCGGCTTGGGATCCAATGTCTGGACGCCACAAAAAGACAGAACCAACCCAAACCCGCGTGCAGTTTGGATTCAGTTAATCAGCAGTAGGTTGCTGTCGGTGTGCGCAGCACCTCGCATTTATATTCCTGACGACTCTGATCTTATCTTTGGGATGATTTTATCTCGTTGGCCTGACCTTGTATATAATATTTATTGATGGTGTAACGTTTTGTTAAGAATGTTATGTGTTGGTGTCACCGGTAAAATCTAGGGACAAGCTCACATCAGTGACGCCGAGGTAATCTTTGCTTCGGTGACCAATCCTGCCGATGTTAAAAGAGAAATATATATACCCCGTTTACTTCTAACATACCTGTAAAATAACTTAAAGGGGGTGGATATTAGATAACTCTTTAGTGTTTATTCACTCATACGTTGGAATTAGGAAAATGTGTATTATATTGAATTGGCAGTTGATTTACGAATCTACTCCTCTATACAAATGAGAGAACCCAAGATTTACTATTTATACTACAGTAAATGTCAGGGTAGCATTTTTTACTTTATCAAAAAGAAAACTGGGTACTGTAGTATTTTTTTTTTAAATATCACTGTAGCACAAGGAAACACTGTAGTATTTTTAAAAAACTATAGCGGAGATCGGAACTACATCAATCTAATTTTTTTTTAAAAAGAGTACTGTATTATTTAAAAAAATCAGGATTACTGTAGCAAGAAAAGAAATGATATACCGTGTTTTACACGGTGTTCACGACTAGTATATTATAACCGAGGAAGCAATATGAAAACTAAAATTGCATTTTCCATGTAACATTTTTTTTTGAGAGAAAAACAAGGGATATTCCCTATTCATTAAAAATCAAAAGTATGTTTACAAAAGAAGGATACGAACTGTATCCATAAAGATTAGTAGATAGAAAAAATAGTTTCTCTTGCTAGGGATGTAGGACCTTCTTCTTACAAACATCTATGAAGGTGAAGAGAGGGCATTGCCGTCATTCACCGTTGACATGAATATAAGTAAGAACCAAAGCCAACCATACATTTGGACAAGAGAAATTAAGTTTTCTATAGACTAATTGAACTAACAACAAAACACCAAAAAGTTGGTATGTACAAAAGACATCAGAAACTACTGAAAGTAAACTGATATTATAAGCTAAACACTGTTGCTCCGCAAGAGTGGTCTCACTTCGAAAACCGCTGCTAGCTTAAGAGCCATCTTCCCTCTTCCAGAACCTGACCATTCATATAAAATAGAAATCGCTGAGTTGATGATAGATGTAACAGAGAACAAAGTGCTTTCAAAAAGAAATTTATTTCTTGATGTCCATAAGCTCCAACATAATGCAGTGAAAATCGTTCGCCATAAAACTCCATCAGTATTACGTAGAGATTCAACAGACATGATCAGTTCGTATAAAGATGTTGGCCACGTGAAAGGGAGATAGAAGTCACAGAAATGTTTCCACACTGATTTGGTGAGACTGCATTCAAAAAATAAGTGATCACAAGTTTCAAGATGTATACCACATAATATGCATATAGAATCCCCTTGCCATCCTTTCTTTGTAAGATTTTCTTTTGTATGTAGTCTGTTAATAGATAAAAGCCATGTGAAAAACTGGAATTTACTCGGCATAACTGGATTCCAAACAGTTTTATAAAAAGCAGATATTCCTCTGGAGTTAAGGAAGGTATAATGAGATTTGACCGAGAAACTCCCGTTGGCTGTAAGGGACCACGTAGGAATGTCGACATTGTTGGTAACAATGTGTAAGCCAATAAGATTCATCGTAGGAATGTCGACATTGTTGGTAACAATGTGTAAGCCAATAAGATTCATAAGTGCAATCTTAGCAGTGGATGAAGGAACGGAAATGCTTCTCTTCAATGTGTAAGCCAATAAGATTCATAAGTGCAATCTTAGCAGTGGATGAAGGAACGGAAATGCTTCTCTTTAGAAGTGGATGCCAATGCCATATATGATTATGAAAAAATCCCTGAGAACGAATGTTGACATTTGTAGACAAAGATAGTTTGTATAAAATTGGATATAGACTTGATAAGGTGTTACTACCGATCCATTTATCTTCCCAAAACCTTATTTTATCACCAGAGCCAAGAGTCCATTGCAGAAGATGGAGAAACAAATCTTTGATTGAGATGATATTATTCCAACAAGAGTCCATTGCAGAAGATGGAGAAACAAATCTTTGATTGAGATGATATTATTCCAAAACAGTGAATAGAAGAACTACAGGTAGCTAATTGCAGCTGAGAGTCTTTTCTAATATAGAGTTGATGTAGAAGAGTTCCAATTAAGGAGTCTCTATCAAGGCATTTCCATAACCATTTAGATAGAAGGGCATCATTAAAAATTTTGAGATCCTTCACACCTAAGCCTCCCTCAGATTTACTTAAGCACACTGTCTTCCAATTTACTAAGCATTTGAATGGTCTGAAGGAATTTTTGTCGGTCCATAGGAATTTTTTTCTGATTTTATCCACCTCTCTAATCACCCATGTTGGTAATTTGTAGAAAGACATATAATATAAAGGAATAGAAGTAAGAACTGAGTTGAGCAAAACAAGTCTACCACCAAAGGATAAACATGAACTTTTCCAGGAAGCAAGTTTCCTATACATATTATCCAACATAGGTTGCCAATCAGATTTAGCTAATTTTTCATACTTCAGAGGCAATCCTAAATATTTGATTGGAAGATGATCAAGATTGCAATTCATGGAAGCAGCAAGAGTTTGTCCTCTATTATGCAATTTACCAAAGTAGATAAGAGATGACATAGAATAATTGATACCCAAACCTGAGATATCTTCAAAAATATATAAAATTGCCTTTAGAACGGATATGTCATTTATAGTGCTCCTGACAAAAAGAAGAGTATCATCGGCAAATTGAAGGCTCCTTATTTGGTTGAGAGGTTCCTTAATGCAAAGATTGGATAGTAAACCCTCTTCCACATTATGACTGATCATCTTGCATAAGACATCAACTACAATATTAAAGAGCAAATGAGATAAGGGATCTCCTTGTTTTAACCCTCTTTTGCATTTGAAAGACTTGGAAGGGGTTCCATTGACAAGAACAGCACAGTTTGATGTAGAAATAATATTGAAAATCCATGAACACCATCTTTGACCAAAACCTCGTACTTTAAGTAAATTAATAAGGAAATCCCAGTTAATAGAATCAAAAGCTTTAGCAAAATCAATCTTTAACATAGCCACTTCCTTCTTCCTTTTTGAGCAAAAGTGTATCATCTCATTTGCAACGGTTATAGAGTCAAGGGTTGATTTACCAGATTGGAAAGCTGATTGTGTAGGTGCAACCAGGTCATTCATATATGGAGCTAATCTGTTAGCTAAAATTTTTGTGAAGATTTTGAAGATGCAGTTGATAAGGCTTATTGGCCTAAAGTCCTTAACTGAGGGATTTCCTTTAATTTTAGGGATAAGAGTGATAAGGACTCTATTTAATTTTAGGGATTTCCTTTAATTTTAGGGATTTCCTTTAATTTTCCATGTAACATATGCTTGTGAATGTTTACAATAAAAAATAGACAGGGCCAAGTCTAACGTGTGCATGAGGCACCTATATATATATTTTTGTCTTCTTAGTTTAAAAGATATCATTGTTCCCACCAAGTTCATTAATAAAATCAATAAAACAATTGAACCCAGTTGAAATCAATCAGAGTGAACAGATCAAATAATAACAAATACTCTGATATAGAATGCGA